AAAGGGTACACATATATGTATATGTTTTTGTATTTGAGTATGAGAGGCCCGTGGTACAGTAAGTAAGCCATAAGCACAGGGGATCTTTTCAAGACTGACTCACATTTTTATGTAGCAGCTATCCAGATTTTCATATGCTGGCTGCCCATTATATGTCAAGTACTGAAGACTAATAATAGATCTCATTATGAGAAGAATTTAGATTACAACACAGGATCTTTACTTTAGATCAGTAGTTTTCCACCCTGTCTTGCATATTAGACACAACTGAGAACTTTTTCAGTAAACTAGGCCCCAGCACACAGAAACTTACTAAGTTCTTCATGTTATGTGCAGTCAGTGTTTCGCATCATGGCTAAAAAGTTTTGCTACAGCTATTGGCAACTACTTTTCCAACTGAGGAATTATGGAGTGAGTATAGGAAGTTGCTAAGAAATATGAGTGATGAGCAGAATCACCTGGGATGATATTAAGAATGCAGATTCCTAAAGTACATCCCAAACCTAGTGATCAACTGCTCATCAGGAAGATTAGGAATCTGAATTTTTCGTAAACATGTGAACTGTTATCAGGAATCCATGTATTCAATATACAAAATCGAACTTAAATATCAAAAAAAGTGCTATGTTTGAAGTAGTCATCTGGCAAGATGACTGAATTATTTTTAAGAACGTTGCCATCTCCAGAATATTTTTTGAAATGTTCTTTGGAGGTGGTTTAGTGATCCTCCCACCTCAGCCTCCTGACTAGACAGGACTATAGCCACCATATCTAACTTACTTTTCTTTCTTTTTTTTTCTTTTCAGAGACAGGGTCATGGTATATATTGCCTAGGCTGGTCTCAAACTCCTGACCTCAAGCAATCCTCCCGCCCTGGCCTCCCAAAAAAGTGCTGGGATTACAGTTGTCAGCCATCATGCCCAGCCCCACTATCATCTTAAAGCTGCTTCATATTCTTCATTCTGAACACAACTGTATTTTATAGAGGACACCACAGGATACAGTAGCATTCTTGAATCTGGGGATCAGAAAATTTCTTTAGATGTGACCTCATGTCAGTGTTCTGTTTTATCGAATTCTATGATAAAGGACAATTATTTGTAATCACTGACAATATTCTAGGAATTCCTAAAACGCTGATGCACGGCAGTTTCAATGGAGTAATGTTCCAAAGACAGTGAAAATGTAATTAATAATAACTGAGTCACATTATTGGTTCTTAATATCAACCAATTTTTTCTTTTTTTGTGAGACAGAGTCTCGCTCTGTCACCTAGGCTGGAGTGCAGTGGCGCTATCTCGACTCACTGCAAGATCCACCTCCTGAGTTCACGCCATTCTCCTGCCTCAGCCTCCTGAATAGCTGGGACTGCAGGTGCCCAACACCACACCTAGCTAACTTTTTGTATTTTGTTTAGTAGAGATGGGGTTTCACCGTGTTAGCCAGGATGGTCCAGATCTCCTGACCTTGTGATCTACCCACCTCGGCCTCCCAAAGTGCTGGGATTACAGGTGTGAGCCACCTCGTCTGGCCAATATCAACCAATTTTCTATGCCATTTCCACCCTGACTCAAAAGAGTAAGAAGTGTTCAATGACGGATAAAATGATAGTGATGCTTAAGAATAACAGATTTAAGTTCAGTAGAAAGACAAATTCTATCCATCTTTGTAAAGCAGATTTAAAATTTGAGGTCTGCAGTCTGCTATTGCAACTACATATAAAATAATCCTTCCCTCACTGCATATTTCAGAACTTATACAAAGCCTCTCCAAATGAACACAATAATGACAAAAGCAATTTAAATGCCCATTCTAAAAACTGTTAGCTTCAGATTAAAACCAAAATGTTAAATTTTGAGAAACTGTAAAATGTAAAGAGCCACTCAGTGCCATACATATTAAGTTAATTACACCATACCTGGTTTTTCTTTATTTACTATAGCAAAGACAGAATCCTCAGCTTGGGCAACAGTAAAGAGGGCATGAAGTTTACATCCAACTGTGAAAGTCTGAAAGATAAAGAGCACCATAGTGTTTACTGTCTGTTCCCTCCAGTAGAACATAAAATCCATTAAGGCAGGGATTTTCACCTATTTTGCTCATTGCTGTATTCCCAACATAAGGAGAGTACCTGGCCTATAGAAGACAACTGATACATATTTGTTAAATACCCTTTCAAGTTTCCTACATATAGATCTGATTCTTTTTAATGGTTTTATGGTATTGTATTGAATGTATCATAATTTTAACTGATTTCAAGGTCATATTTAACTTTTTTCCTACCATAAACAATGCTATAAGGCCTTTGTGTACAGGCCATTATTTCAACAACAGATTCTTAGAAGTGAGACTGCTGTAGCAAAACGTGTTTATTGATTTTCAGTTTTAACTCTCATTGTGTACAAAAGTGCCTGTTTCTCTCTACTTTACCTATCACTAGATTTTTTTCAATCTACAATTTGGCTAAATTTATGAGGGGAAATATTGTGTCATTTGTCTTAGATTTCTTTATTAATGAGTTTAAGCAGCTCTTCATATTTATTGGCTAATTGTATTTCTTTTCTGTGAATTTACATATTCCTACTTTATGCCATTTTCTTCTACCAGGCTTTTAGTTTTTCCTTATTGGTTTTTGGGAATATTTTTGTATATGTGGAATAGTATCTTTTGTAAATATCTTCTCCCAGCTTTAACTTGTCTTTTACAAGTGGAAAATTTTTATATAGTCAAATTAATTTTTTTGATGCTATTTTGTAACTTGTTTAGGAAGTCTATTTAAATATTTGGCCTTATAGAAAGAAACAGTACATCTACCATTAAATTACACTGCCTTTTTTTTTTCACATAAGGAAAAGTAAAGATCAATCCACATACCTTTATTAAGATGCCATCTATATAGTCCCACAGTTTAATTGTGCCATCAAGGGAACAAGAATATAGCTAAAAGGGTAAAACAATACAAAATTGATTACAAAAAAGAAATTCATCAATATATCAAATGAATAATTAAACGCTGATGGGGCATTTTCTATTCATTAATTCACGGTTAATCTTAAAGAGGTAGAGTCATTTATTTACATTGCTTCTGCAAAACAATCTTTTCACAGCTTTCTGCAAGAAGCAGATCCATCCTTTTCAAGTTTTAACTAAAAGAGAGAGGAAAAAAGTTGACATTCTATCTTGAAGAGGGAAATGTTAAGGTTTTGAATGAGATATGAAAAGTACCTAGGTGCAGTGGCTCCCATCTGTAATCTCAGCACTTTGGGAGGCTTAGACAGGTGCATCACTTGAGGCCAAGAGTTCGAGATCAGCCTGGCCAACATGGTGAAACCCCATCTCTAGTGAAAATACAAAAATTAGCCAGGCGTGGTGGCACATCCTGTAATCCTAGCTACTCGGGAGGCTGAGGTTGCAGTGAGCTGAGATCACATTGTTATACTCCAGCCTGGGAGACTGAGACTCTCCAAAAAAAACAAAAAAAAAAAACAAAAAAACAAACACACACACACACACAAGAGCTTGTTGCTCTTCCTGCCAGAACTCAGTTTACTCAGTTTTATCAGCCAAACTCCTTTCACCTTATATGAATATTAAGGGAGTGCTTCTCAAGTGACTGAAGAATATTCTGCTTAAAAAAAATTTCTTCCAATCCATCAAGGACCAATACTTTCATAAAATACAATAGAAATTATAATACACTTGGATGCTATGGCAATGTCAAAGTGTTCTGTGACACTAACTTTCTGTACTCTTATACAGAATGGTAACTAATGGTTTAGGACACTGGTCTGTGGACCATACTTTGGTAGTACCGGAAGACCTTACTAACACATAGGTTTACTTTTGTTCTAGTGTACTTAGTTTTAATAATACTAAGTTTCCACTAGATTTTTTTTTTTGTTGTTATAGGAAAATACTTTGCTTATAATGTTGACAAAGAATTTTAATATTTTTAAAGAAAGCGGCAATTTTAGGATTTCTGCAAATAGAGACATGGACTCAAAGAAGAGAAATGTAAAAATGTTGGAGTAAAACCATGTTATCTATCCAAGTCAAAAAATTATAGTAACTAGGAAATTTATATCACAATTACTGCATATCAGAATCATAAATATGGACTAGTAGAATGTAACAAGTCAAACATATAATTACTGTCAAAACGATGGTTAATACACAAATACTGTGACTCCTAAGTCCAGAACTGCTGCCCCTGCACCTCAACCAAATCTACTGATAAAACTGCCCTTCTCTAATTTTATTCACTTTTAGTCACCTGAAACAAAGATTTCATGCAATGTGTCTACATTTTTTTTTGCTATAAAACTTAGTATATGGACTTCACAAATTTCAATTTTAACAAAATAATAGTTTTGCTGTTGAAAACATTCACATACCACACATAGTGATAAACTTTTGTCAAACCCTCAGAGGATGGCAAGGATAAAATATGTACTTGGGTCCTGCAGGAAAGTTACCTAACTTTGATTTTTAGGAGTAGCTCATTTAATTTTGGAAAGAAAAGATCGGTGCTACTTTATTTCCTTTGGAATAAGAGTATATGGCAATGCAAATCCATCCTTGATCAGTAATTTCCAAGTTGGCTGTGACTAATCCAGGAAAATGGAATTGGATTAAAAATAAGAACAAGAACAAAATATTGTTGAGATAAAATTTTAGTAGATTTGCTGAAACTTAAGAACAGAATTAAAATGACCATTTCATTATTCTTAAATACTGAGAAAGAAGGGCTGCTTTGTGGGGGAAGTGGGAAAATTTGCACTAAATTAAATTCCCAAATTTGTCTTGAAACTAACTAATTGACCCACTCACCAAATAAATTTTCTTATCTAGATACCGGTATTAAGACTAGTCAATATCTAGAGTAAGCCAGAGCCTCACTTCTAAAGGAACAGATCTACCAAATCAATACCTCCTGGCCCACATTTTTCAAAATGTGTTCTAGAAACCAAACGGTTCACAAGTCAAGTAAGTTTGAGAAACACCAAATACTACATACCCCTTTTGGACATTCACAATGCATGTAAGGGAACCTAAGAAGACCTACAATCAACAAATACATTTACCTGTGCCAAGCCCTTAATTTCAGAGACTCATACAGCCAAGAATATCCTTCTCAAGTAACACTTATTAGCATTCTGTGGAACAAATGATTCACAGAATACGCTATAGGCAATGTAGTTTAGTAAGTGAAAAATACCCTACAACTGAAAATAAATATTTTGCTTATAACCTGGAAAGTTTCCCAGCCAAATTCGACTCGAATTTTTCTGTAAAGAACAAAGCCAATCTTAAAGTATTCAGCTATAACTGTATGACACCTGTAGATGGTTGTTGGGGTTAAGTTGGATTCCAGTCACCAGATTTCTGTGTCCATGTAGTATGTGTACACACTCTTCTGTAACTGTGCTGTAAACTTTAACAAAATCTCCAGAGACACAGAAGATATACCTGGAAAAAAAAGAAAGAAAAGTAAGTTTTACATACTGTATTAGTCTGTTTTCACACTGGTGAAAAACACATTTTTCATCTTGGTTTCAGTGGTCTTGAACTCCCAGCCTCAAGTGATGCACCTGCCTGGGCCTCCCAAAATGCTGAGATTACAGGTGGGAGCCATTGTACCTGGTGCTTTTCATATTTCATTCAAAACCTTACCATCTCCTTCTTCAAATTTATAAAGGAAAGAGATTTAATGGATTCGCAGTTCCACGTGGCTAGGGAGGCTTCACAATCATGGTGGAAGCAAAAAGCATGTCTTACATGGTAGCAGGCAAAAACAGAACTTGTGCAGGGGAGCTCCCCTTTATAAATCCATCAGCTCTCGTGAGACTGATTCACTACCACAAGAACAGTATAGGGGAAACTGCCTCCATGATTCAGTTATCTCCAACTGGGTCCCTCCCACAACACGTGGAGATTATGGGAGCTACAATTCAAAATAAGATTTGGGTGGGGACACAGCCAAATCATATCACATACTCGACAGGTAGTAGGATCTTTTTACTGTCCATGATAAAAATGCAACAGAGGTTTCTTTTGGTATAGTTTAAGAATTGTGGCTGGGCGCAGTGGCTCAAGCCTGTAATCCCAGCACTTTGGGAGGCCGAGATGGGCGGATCACGAGGTCAGGACATCGAGACCATCCTGGCTAATACAGTGAAACCCCATCTCTACTAAAAAATACAAAAAACTAGCCGGGCGAGGTGGCGGGCGCCTGTAGTCCCAGCTACTCGGGAGGCTGAGGCAGGAGAATGGCGTAAACCCGGGAGGCGGAGCTTGCAGTGAGCTGAGATCCGGCCGTTGCACTCCAGTCTGGGGACAGAGCGAGACTCCGTCTTAAAAAAAAAAAAAAAAATTGTATACTCAAATTTGTGTGCCTTTTGTCTATGGGGACATCTATGACCAATCAGTTCATTAACTCAGAAGAGATTATTAACTCAGAAAAGATTAATGACGCCAATGTCATATCTCTTGCCTGTTTGTAGACAGAGGCTATAAATGGAATTATCCTGCAAAAACAGCCAACTTAACCAAGTTGCCTGCTCATTCAATGGATGCAGACAGTGTCCTAGTCACTATCAACTATTATTCTTCAATAGTACTGCCAACAGCAGTGTTTTTCCATGTCCCCAACCTCTCCACGGTTCACTGGCAACACCAGCTTACAAATGCTAAGTCAAAGGTTCTGCTCCAGTTGGTGAGGTCTGGGCCTTTTGTACAGAAAAATACAAAGACTTTATTCCATTTTTTTTTTCTTGTTGCTGAAATGCTGGCTTTGCTTTGTCTTTCTGGATTTGTGGATTTCTTCCATGTAGTAGCAGCTACTAAATTACTAAAAGTGGTTAAGTTGGGGCACTATTTGACTTTCATGATATCATCACAGAACAAGGCTCAGAAATATAAATCTTCTTGTATCTTCCAAGTAAAAAATATTTGCTCCGTGCCTATTATATCTATAGCAGTACTCTTATTTATGGTTTCACTTTGCCTGGTTTTAATTACCTACAGTCAAGATCAATCTGAAAATATTAAATAGAAAATTCCAGAAACAATTCCTAAGTTTAAAATTTTATGCCATTCTCAGTAGTGATGAATTCCCCTTGTCTCACCTGAGATATGAATCATTCCTTTTTCCAGTATTCTCTGCTGTAGACACACCTGCCAGTTAGTCACATAGAAACTATCTAGGTTATCCTATCCACTATTGCTGTACTGTAGCACTTATGTTCAAATAACCCTTATTTTACTTAATAATGACCCCAAAGTGTAAGAGTAATGATGCTGACATACTGTTATAATTGTTCTATTTTACTAGTTATTGATGTTAATCTCTGTGCCTAATTTATAACTTAAAATTTATCATAAGTATATATGTATAGGAAAACATACAGTATATATAGCGTTTGGTAGTACCTGTGGTTCTACGCATCCACTAAGGGTCCTGGAACATATCCTCTGTGGACAAGGGAGGGTCACTGTATTACAACACACTAAGAGTAAATCTGTTGCAAACTGGGACCACTACTATCCTAGTTTATCAGTTCAAGATATTTGATTTTCACATGTTCATCTCTTGGAAATTAGGATGCATCTTATAATCCATGGAACCTTGTAAGTGCTGTCAGCCAGGAGGCATGGTTGTATGAAATGGTATAAGATCAAGAATGTATGAGCAACAAAGCATTTACATAACCTCCCCTTTGGCTGCAGCCTCTTCTCCATTCCCATGAGTACTTCACTTCAGAGGCTTAACATCTCCAGCGTGGACCACTCTTCAGGGCTTCCTACAGTCTCCAGGTACAGTCCTTCAATGCAGCTTTGACAGTCAAACCAGACTAATTTTGCAAATTTGACCGTATTACTTCCTCAGATAAAGTTAAAATCCTTTAATGTTTTCCCTCTGCCTTTAGGAAATGATCCAATTTCTTAAGGCTTTGGTAGTCTGATCCCAGTCTAACCTGAACTACTTTTTCACTTAACATTGTGCTCTATTAAAATAGTTCATAACTCCAACAATTTCCCCCATCCCCCAGACACACCCTATCAATATGAAAGGTCGTTTAGATATGGCTTCCTTGAGACAGTGGTGGGTAGGGGGCTACTGCTGGCCAAGAAAACTTTCCCTAATTGCTTCTGATAAGCTTCCTCAGAAAAAAGGAATGTCTTCTCTTCTGGTTTCTCAGCAAAGAACAATGGTTTCAATTACTTAAGTGCAATCCTTCAAAGTCAACTTTCTCTCCATGATTTTGCACTCTCTGGTATCTACATAGAACACGTTTTCTAACTTTTTTTTTATTTCCTAAGAGTAAGCTTTTTATTTTTCAACTTTTAATTTTGAAATCATTCTAGATTTACAGAAGAACTACAGAGTTCCTATATACACTTCACCTGGCTTCCACAAATGTTAGCACTTTACATAAGCACAGTACATTAGTCAAAACTAAGATATTAACATTGGTACATGACTATTAACTACATAATTTATGAGTTCTTCACTTTTTCCATTAATGTCTTTTTTATGTTCCTAGAATCCAATCCAGCATACCACATTAGTTGTCATATCTTCTCAGAACCCTCCAATCAGTGACAGTTTTTCAGTCTTTCCCATTTCTCAGAACTCTTGACTACTGCTTTAAGATTCACCTCAGAATTTTCTCCCGGAAGCCCTTCCTCATCTTCCCATTCTAGATCAGCACCAGTCCTAATGTGCTTCTACACAACGGTGGGCTTAGCTCCATGACTGAACTTACCACAAGGCATTAAGACTGTGTACTATGTTTCTCCTCTACCAGACTGTGAGTTCTTTGAGGTGAGACACTGTGTTTTCACTTATTAGAAACAATAATAAGTCAAACACAAATGGATTTGAATGCCAGCTTTATTATGTATTAGCTGAATGACGTTGGAGAATTTAAACTTCACATCTCCACTTACAGTTATCCATTGTAAAATGCAAATAACACTTCTCATAGAGTTTAAGTGAAACAATGCATGCAAATGCAAGCTTAGCATACACAGTAAGCACTCACTAAATAGGGATAATACCTTAACCTTGTAGACTGGAAGGTGTGTAATGCACCCACCACAACACCTGTCACATAGGATTCATTTTGTTGAGAAAGTGAAGAAGTAAGAAATTAGGGATGTTTCAAGTCAGAACCAGGATTTAAACTGGACTCTGAAGAATGTATGATTTAAGGGGTGGGAAGAAAAAAATAGCAACATAAGCAAAAGCAAGGAAATAGTATGATTATGTACAAGACACAGATAATGTACTTATCTGACAAGCAAAGTGTCTATAATGGGTAGTTTCAGGAAACAGTTGGGTAAGAAGAGTTGAGCTATATTAGAGAAGGGAATGAAAGCCACATAGAGGAGCTATAGTTGAGGCAACAAAAAACTGTTACAAAGTTCTGAGCAAGACTAGGAATAAGAGTTAGAGTAAAAATGTTATAACAGTAACAACTTAGGAAAATTGTTACAGCAGCAATACTCAGAATGATCTGTAAGGGAAAAATAGTGAGTTTGGGACATTAGCTTGTGGGTAGTTTAGGAAAGTGAAAGGCAAGGATGACTCATTGTTTCAGTTTTCTCTACCCTAACAACCCCAGTGCAATAATTCATAGCACCATATAATTGCGGGATGCCGCAGAATGGGATGCAAACAGAACTGGACTGTGAGTCGGTAATACCTAATACGGAACACCAGGAACTTACATATATACCCACATGCCCCTCAGAACAACCCACTCAAGTACCCAGAACAGAGTTTTTGTTTTAGTTTCAAGAGGAAGCTGCCAAAATTCCACAAGTCTGTCGTTTTATGATTTTGGCTTTCTTGATAAGCACCTTGAGGTAAAATGCAAAATTATTCCTCTTTGTATAAGGCAGTCAACCCATTGTGGTACCTTGTAGATAATATTCAAATCTTTGCTGAGTTCATTATAATCCTGTTCATTTGTTCGAGAAATGGTTTTAATTATCAGCTTATATATAAATGACAAAAAAAAGAAAAAAAAAAAGAAAAAAAACCAACCTCTAAATCTTGACCAAGTTCCCCAAACTTCAGTCCTGAATTTCTACCTACTACTAGCTATATCCATCTGTTTTACAGGTACCTTAGAGTTAATAACCCTGAACTGAACTCTATCTTCCCATTAACACTGACTGTGAAATCACTCTAAAACCCTGTCTCTTTTTTCCATGTTCAATATTACCTTAGTTTGGGCAAGAGTGATTTCTTGCTTGGATGCCAGCACTGGCTAACCCCTGGTCTCTATTCTTCCAGAGTCTATTCTTGCCATCTCTTATACCCTATACTGCAATTACACTGACTTTACACAGAAGGCTCAATCCCCCCAGTTTTCAAGGCCCCCAGATTTCAAGCTTGTTTGCCTGGCATTCCACCCCCCAGTATCACTGGCGAGGCAAACTCTTGCCATTGCTGCAAGATCCACTACTGAAGGGAAAACTGACTATGTAACTCCCTCTTCTATGCCATCACTATACTTTGGGTACACCAGCCTACCCAGCTCTCATTTCTCCACTCACCAACATGTATCATAGTTTCACAGTTTTCAGGTTAACACTATCGAAGAAACACAATCAAATTACAACTGATTACTGCTGTCCCCTTAAAGAATTAAAAAACCATTCTCTTTGGTCCAAACAACAACCAACAACTGGCTGCACGTGTCCTTTCCAACCTCATTTCCCACTATCTCCCTTATATATCATTCTCACTAGCTAGCTGTACCAGCCTGTTCAACAGATATCATTTCTGTCTGTCTTGCTTACACTGTCTTCCCCATCTGAAATGTCTTCTGTCCATATTCCCCACTTAAAATATCATCTAGGCCTAGCACAAATGTCACTTGCTCAGCAGCCTTCTCCATCCTTCTTAGTTTGGGAAGTAATCTCTTCTTATGAGCTCCTTCCTACAGGACCAAAGTAAGAAAAATCTGTTACTGAGTATTCCTTTTCCTCACTAGACTGTAAACTCCTCGAAGGCAGGATCAATATTAAAATTATCTTAGTTTTTGTCATTGCAGCATGTTATACATAATATATAGTTGACAAATACTTAAAAAATGAATTGTTGGGCTTAGCAAATGAAACACATAATGGACCTCATTATAATGAATAAGGTATAGAAACAGTACGCTGAAGAAACTGGTTACATGGATATGAGTCCGACGTGTCAGAGTGTGAGCCTCTAAAAGTCTGTTTCTTCCTTTGATTCATAAGATCAATGTAAACAAAGCCTAAGGACTCATTTTTTTTTTTTTTTGGCTTCTAAGGCAATTTATGAAAGCTCTTTCAGTCATGCATGCATTGCCTTCAACAACTACCTGTCATACACTCATATGCAGAATATTGTGGGGGTGGGCCGGGCACGGTTGCTCACTGTAATCGCCGCACTTTGGGAGGTTCAGGTGGACAGATCACTTGAGGCCAGGAGTTCCAGGGCAGCCTGGCCAACATGGCGAAACCCTCTCTCTACTAAAAATACAAAACTTAGCTGGTGTCGTGGCCCGCGCTTATAATACTTGCTACTCGGGAGGCCGAGGCACTAGAATTGCTTGAACCAGGGAGACGGAGGTTGTAATGAGCCTAGATTGAGCCACTGCACTCCAGCTTGGGTGACAGAGTGAGACTCTGTATCAAAAAAAAAAAAAAAAAAAGAATATTGTGGAGGCTACAAACTTTCATAAAATACTATCTCTACTCTTCTAAGACAGAAAGGGTTTTTTGATTTTATTAAGTGTCACTCTACCTAAAGTTATCTGAAAACCTGACAATACAGTAATAATGATTACAGCTACATACATTGAGCCATTATATGCTGGGCATTGCTGTCTGTAGTCTTAACATATTGAGGCATTTGATCCTCCCAATAACCGTGTGAGATGAACTAAATATTATCCCCCTTTTACAGACGATGGCAACTGAGGCAAAGATTAAAAAACTTACAAAGATTTCATAATGTAAGAAGTGGATTTTGAAGCCAGGGAATGGTTTGGTTTCCAGCTACACTGAGAAAAAAGACCAAGTCTTAGCGTATTTTTTTTACCTCATAAAGATCTAACATCTGTTTTCACGTAAAGTTCCAAAAAGACTGCACTATGCTCTATGCTTCAGGGGTGAGGAGTGGATAAAAAAAGCCTAATATTTTTAGGTTTTAGTCACTCCAAAACATGATTCTGTACGAAAGAGTAGGTACTGCAAAAGTAGTGGCATACACATCCACGCATGGACCATTTTCCAGCCGCCCGAGCACCTTCCAGATCCTCGACACGGAGACCGGCTCCAGGGCCTTTCAATCTACCTGCAGGCAAACTGTCCAGGAATCGGGGGGCGCACCCCAACCTGCAGTGCTAACCGGACCTCCCGGGTACCCTGGGGATCCCCCACACGCGCGTGCTCTACCCAAAGCCCATATCCGCCAGGCTGGCGAGTCCGAACGCGACTGACAGTTCCTTCTCCCCGACCCTCGAGAAACTCACGCCCCGCCCCTCAGCCGACAAAGCGCGGTGCCCCTCATACTTAGAATCTGCAGAGAACACAGCTCTCCTAAAGTTCAACTCGCTGCCGCCACAACGAACCACGCGGATGCTCTCCTCTTCCACCATCTTTGCGCAGTCGCAGAATGACCAATCGCTGGTCCCGCCCTGAACTTCCTATATTGAGCCAGGAGTAACACGGCTGTGCCCAGCCCACAGAACCCACCCACGGGCCCTTCTAGGCCTGAGACTCCGTGGTTCCTTGCCATCTCTTATACCCTATGCTGCAATTACACTGACTTTACACAGAAGGCTCAATCCCCCCAGTTTTCAAGGCCCCCAGATTTCAAGCTTGTTTGCCTGGCATTCCACCCCCCAGTATCACTGGCGAGGCAAACTCTTGCCATTGCTGCAAGATCCACTACTGAAGGGAAAACTGACTATGTAACTCCCTCTTCTATGCCATCACTATACTTTGGGTACACCAGCCTACCCAGCTCTCATTTCTCCACTCACCAACATGTATCATAGTTTCACAGTTTTCAGGTTAACACTATCGAAGAAACACAATCAAATTACAACTGATTACTGCTGTCCCCTTAAAGAATTAAAAAACCATTCTCTTTGGTCCAAACAACAACCAACAACTGGCTGCACGTGTCCTTTCCAACCTCATTTCCCACTATCTCCCTTATATATCATTCTCACTAGCTAGCTGTACCAGCCTGTTCAACAGATATCATTTCTGTCTGTCTTGCTTACACTGTCTTCCCCATCTGAAATGTCTTCTGTCCATATTCCCCACTTAAAATATCATCTAGGCCTAGCACAAATGTCACTTGCTCAGCAGCCTTCTCCATCCTTCTTAGTTTGGGAAGTAATCTCTTCTTATGAGCTCCTTCCTACAGGACCAAAGTAAGAAAAATCTGTTACTGAGTATTCCTTTTCCTCACTAGACTGTAAACTCCTCGAAGGCAGGATCAATATTAAAATTATCTTAGTTTTTGTCATTGCAGCATGTTATACATAATATATAGTTGACAAATACTTAAAAAATGAATTGTTGGGCTTAGCAAATGAAACACATAATGGACCTCATTATAATGAATAAGGTATAGAAACAGTACGCTGAAGAAACTGGTTACATGGATATGAGTCCGACGTGTCAGAGTGTGAGCCTCTAAAAGTCTGTTTCTTCCTTTGATTCATAAGATCAATGTAAACAAAGCCTAAGGACTCATTTTTTTTTTTTTTTGGCTTCTAAGGCAATTTATGAAAGCTCTTTCAGTCATGCATGCATTGCCTTCAACAACTACCTGTCATACACTCATATGCAGAATATTGTGGGGGTGGGCCGGGCACGGTTGCTCACTGTAATCGCCGCACTTTGGGAGGTTCAGGTGGACAGATCACTTGAGGCCAGGAGTTCCAGGGCAGCCTGGCCAACATGGCGAAACCCTCTCTCTACTAAAAATACAAAACTTAGCTGGTGTCGTGGCCCGCGCTTATAATACTTGCTACTCGGGAGGCCGAGGCACTAGAATTGCTTGAACCAGGGAGACGGAGGTTGTAATGAGCCTAGATTGAGCCACTGCACTCCAGCTTGGGTGACAGAGTGAGACTCTGTATCAAAAAAAAAAAAAAAAAAAGAATATTGTGGAGGCTACAAACTTTCATAAAATACTATCTCTACTCTTCTAAGACAGAAAGGGTTTTTTGATTTTATTAAGTGTCACTCTACCTAAAGTTATCTGAAAACCTGACAATACAGTAATAATGATTACAGCTACATACATTGAGCCATTATATGCTGGGCATTGCTGTCTGTAGTCTTAACATATTGAGGCATTTGATCCTCCCAATAACCGTGTGAGATGAACTAAATATTATCCCCCTTTTACAGACGATGGCAACTGAGGCAAAGATTAAAAAACTTACAAAGATTTCATAATGTAAGAAGTGGATTTTGAAGCCAGGGAATGGTTTGGTTTCCAGCTACACTGAGAAAAAAGACCAAGTCTTAGCGTATTTTTTTTACCTCATAAAGATCTAACATCTGTTTTCACGTAAAGTTCCAAAAAGACTGCACTATGCTCTATGCTTCAGGGGTGAGGAGTGGATAAAAAAAGCCTAATATTTTTAGGTTTTAGTCACTCCAAAACATGATTCTGTACGAAAGAGTAGGTACTGCAAAAGTAGTGGCATACACATCCACGCATGGACCATTTTCCAGCCGCCCGAGCACCTTCCAGATCCTCGACACGGAGACCGGCTCCAGGGCCTTTCAATCTACCTGCAGGCAAACTGTCCAGGAATCGGGGGGCGCACCCCAACCTGCAGTGCTAACCGGACCTCCCGGGTACCCTGGGGATCCCCCACACGCGCGTGCTCTACCCAAAGCCCATATCCGCCAGGCTGGCGAGTCCGAACGCGACTGACAGTTCCTTCTCCCCGACCCTCGAGAAACTCACGCCCCGCCCCTCAGCCGACAAAGCGCGGTGCCCCTCATACTTAGAATCTGCAGAGAACACAGCTCTCCTAAAGTTCAACTCGCTGCCGCCACAACGAACCACGCGGATGCTCTCCTCTTCCACCATCTTTGCGCAGTCGCAGAATGACCAATCGCTGGTCCCGCCCTGAACTTCCTATATTGAACCAGGAGTAACACGGCTGTGCCCAGCCCACAGAACCCACCCACGGGCCCTTCTAGGCCTGAGACTCCGTGGTTCCGTGCAGCCATCTTTTGTGTGGGCAATGCCAAACTAAGACTCGGCTTCCGTGCAGCCATCTTTTGTGTGGGCAATGCCAAACTAAGACACTTGTAAGAAAAGATGAAAGCAAAACAGAGACTTAGAGAGAATCAGTGTTTTATTATATACCTATACACAATTATTTAATACAGACATATTTCTCTCAAGCCTTGTCAACCTGACTCTATGGCTTTTTCTGCCAGAAGGGAAAGGTGGTGCACAATGTACCACGTGACCTTCAGTAGTCTCATCGGAGGCGTAACTTTCTGGTGTCTGTGATCTCGGCGCTGCAGGATGACGCGAGCCTCTCGCGTCCCTGGTTTTCTTGGTCGCCGCGTTGCGTTATTGGGTGGAAAGGTAGCTTTCTCCTCCTTGTACAGCTTTTTGTTCCTCTCATTAACCATTCTTCTGTTCTTGTGAGCACCGCTTAGGTTCCTACAGAATCTCCACAGTCCTAGGGCCTAGCTTTCTTCCTTTGGAAATCTGGCTCCTACTGCGGTATTCTGGTGCATCTTCCCCAGCGTTCAGTGTAGCTGCTCGGGCTAATCTGACATTCGGCCAGTCCCGCCAGGTTTCAGGGCGCTGCTCTCTGGTTTCCTGGGTTTTACCTTTTCCCATTAGTGGATAGAGCCTGTGGGTTAGGAACCCCTAAAATCCGAAGATGTTTATTTTTGCCAGTTTGTCTCCAGTTTTCCTTTGTAAAGTTACACGTATCATATTCTTGGACCCTGTATATCATGTTGCCTATTTTGATTTCGCTTCTTGATTTGTTGATTTACCACAAAATTACCAAAGTCACAAGTATAGTCACATGCCACGTAAGGATCTTTCAGTCAGTGCATATAACATTGTGATTCCTTAAGATTGTAATACTGTGTTTTTACTGTACCTTTTATGTATTTTAATACTTCAATACTATTAACAGAATAGTATTGGTGTATTATGGCCGGGCGTGGTGGCTCACGCCTGTAATCCCAGCACTTTGGGAGGTCGAGACAGGGGGATCACGAGGTCAGAAGATCGGGACCACAGTGAAACCCCGTCTCTACTAAAAATACAAAAAATTGGCCGGGCGCAGTGGCAGGCGCCTGCAGTCCCAACTACTCTGGAGGCTGAGGCAGGAGAATGGCGCTAACCCGGGAGGCGGAGCTTGCAGTGAGCAGAGATCATGCCACTGCACTCCAGCCTGGGCAACAGAGTGAGACTCCGTCTCAAAAAAAAAAAAAAAAAAAAGTATTGGTGTATTTAAATAATACAATTGTATTAATAATACAATTGCCTGTAATATTGAGTATAGTAACATGTTCAGATTTGTAGCCTAGAAGCAATCAGCTATAAGGTATAGCCTAGGTGTGTAGTAGGCTGTACCATCTAGGTTTGTGTAGGTACACTCTATGATATTCACGCAATGATGAAATCACCTAACATGCATTTCTTAGAGCATATCCCCATCATTAAGCCACACATGATTATACCCATAAGTTTATTTATTGTGGAGAAATACAGTGTCCACGAAGGTCAAGACATCCTGGGACAGCACCACTGTAAAAATCAGGGATAAATTTACTTTTTAACTGAGAAGTCTAGCTTATTAAAGGGCTCAAAACTTTATTATTTGGGGAGCCAGAACTAGAAAGAGAGATATTTAATAATTTTGGTTTATCTCAAGCTGTAACGAGCTTTCTCTTTCATGACTGTGATACCCTTTGTCACAGTGGATGAAGCGTAAAATATCACTTTTGATTCTGCAGCCTTAATCTCTTTTTGTTCAGTCTCTTGATGTCTGCACAGTAAATCTTTTAAAGACTCGGTTGGTACTTTGTAACCTGATACAGGCTTTTCCTTAGGGCCTGAGCCAAGAAACAAAATAAATATTTTCACTCAAATTAGTGTGACTTTAGTTGTATGTTACTGTATGGTAACTTTAGATTTTTCAGAAAAGAATCAGAAATCCTGATATGGACAAAAACTAGCTGGATTGATAAACCTACAGGAGGATTATTTTACACAGGGTTTTAATTTACCCAAGTGCCCAGAAAGATAAGTCATTTGTATTTTGATTTCTTTTTACATAATTTTTAAGGAACCAATGCCGTTTAATTAATAGTGCCTTGTGTTTATCATATAACAAGAAGGCTGAGGTATGCAGAATAGGGCTACTGTAGTGGTTCATTCATGCCACCAGGGACCTATGCTTTCTCTACTTTGTTCTTTCCATTTACTGTCCTTAACTATATTGGTTTTGTCCTTATGCTGACAGTTCATGTTCCTTTCAGTTAGAAGAAATAAGGGAATAGCAAGAAAGAGCATAACCTATATACAGAAGAAAAAGGATTTTCCACATTTATTTTGCCTCTTCCATCCAGGAAATATTTACTAAGTGCCTAGATATGCCAGACATTCCTTTAGGCTCTGGGAATACTGGAGTGAGAAAAATAGTAAACAAAATCCGTGTCTTACTGGACCTTACCTTACCATGGGAAGAAACAAAAACTTACTATACTTTTGATGTCTTTATGTGCCAAGGGGAAACTCAAAGTAGAAAAGAAAGTGAGTATAAGGGTTTGATTGCATTTAGAATGGGTTTTCAGGGAAAGCCTTACTGAGAAGATAACATTTGAAATGACCTGAAAAGGTTGAGAGCGTGAATAAGCCTGGAGCTGTTTGGTGAAAGTGTCAGCCAGAGGCAAGAGTATTCCTTTCCATGTTCGAGATAAGGCAAGAGGCCAGTGTGGCTGGAGAATAATCATCAAAGGGGTATAGTAAAAGATGGGGTCAGAGAGGTAATAAGAGGCCAGTTCATAGGGTCTCCTAGATCATTGTAACAGCTTTGGGTTTTATGAAGACAGTGTGGCCTTTGTGTTAAAAAGTGAAATGATTAGGCTAATTTAAAAAATGTACGTACAATAAAATCTGCTTTCTTTGATATCTATAATGCACAAATTATTGTATCCACCATCACAAATAGGATACAGAAGAATTCCAACACCCAAAGAATTCCCTAGTGCTTCTCCTTCGCTCCCCAAGACCTATCCCCTGGCAACCACTAATATGTTCTCCATCCATAGAGTTTTGCCTTTTCCAGAAAGCCGTATATAAATGGGATCATATAGTATATAACATTTTCAGTCTAGCTTCTTTCACTTAGCATATTGCATTTATGTTATGTGCATCAGTGCTTTATATTGCTGAGTGGTATTCCATTGTATGGCTATTTCACAGTTTATTTGTTGAATGTGTGTATTTTACCCCCAGATTTTAGAAATTATGAATAATACATCTCTAAACATTCATATGTAGGTTTATGTGTGAACATAAGCTTTTGTTGCTCTAGGATAAATACCAGCAAATGGGATTGCTCAAGTCATAAGTGTATGTTTATTTAGGAAATTGCCAAACTGTTTTTTTCCCCAGAGTTACTGTACTATTTTTGCATTTCCATAAGTAATGTGTGAAAGTTGTAGTTACTTTACACCCTTGTCAGGGCTTGGTATTACCAAGTTTTGTAAATTTTATTTTAGCCATCATAATAAGTTTGTAGTGGTATTTCATTGTGGTTTTAATTTTCACTTCCCTAGTGACTAATGCTGAGCATCATTTTATATCCTTTTTGGTGAAGTGTCATCAAGTCCTTCACCCATTGCTTTATTGGTTATCTTCTTGCTGAGTTTTGAGCATTCTCTTTTAAAATTTTTTTATTTTTATTAATAAAATTTAAAAAAACTTTCCCATTAGAAGGATTTAGCCACATTTTTACTGCTTAGTATCTTCATGTATGTTTCTGTTCCCTTCAACAGATAATAAACATCATGTACAGTCTTTCACACCACTGCCCTGCATAATGTACTTAGG